TTTAAAGAAATGATTTGGAAAATATTTGAACACCTTGTCTTAAAATATTTTATTCATCATGTTAAAATAAAATGTTCCATAATCATTTTTTTTCCCTTTTCTTTTTTCAATTTTTCCAATTTTTCGGAAAAAAACAAAAAAGGCTTCAGAAAAAAACTGGAAAAACCCGGTTTTTTCCCAGGCCTTCACATCTCTAGTTCCAGTGTGGGCCTGATGGAAGCCCTCTGGGGGCCTGATTTGTCCCCCCGACCGCATGTTTGACACCACTGTTGTAACTAGTCAGTGCCCATGCGCCAAAAGCCTGTTCATACATTGTAGCGTCTTTCAGTGACTTTCTATCAGTACCTCCTATTGTGTTGTTGCTATTTATCAAAATATACATTGTACTTATAGGTGTACATTGTACACACACACACACATATATAGCAGGCCTCGGCCGGTTCCATCTTACCAAGTCAACCATCACAGAAATATGCAAAGAAAAGTTAGAACCAATTAAAATACAGCAAAATTAAAATACAGAAGATACTTTCCGATACTCCTAACCAGAGCCTCAACCAATGAGATCTGCCACAAGCTGGGGTTCCAGTTGGTTACTCATAGAATCACAGAATGTTAGAGTTGGAAGGGACCTTGCAGGTCATCTAGTCCAGCCTCCAGCGCCCTGCACTCTGCAGGAGCATAGCCGAAAGAGAGCCCTACAACATACCCGAAAGACGGTCGTCCAGCCTCCGCTAGAAAACGTCCAGCGAAGGAGCCTCCACCACCTCCCAAGGCAGTCTGTTTCACTGCTCAACCACTCTTACAGTCAGGTAGTTTCTCCTGATATTTAGCCGATAACGACACCTGGTGCAGTTCCGCAGGGCCTGCAAGACGGAGCTCTTCCACCAGGCTTTCGATTAGGGGCCGCCACTGCCCCCCCCCTGGATATAAACCATCTTTGGGGGGGGACTAGGGCTCAGGAGGCCAGGTAGAAACATCTGGTAACATCTAAAATATTATCAATGCTTCTCTTTCCCAGGCTAAACGTACCCAACTCTTTCAGCCTTTCCTCATAAGACTTGGATTCCAGACCTCTCACCGTCCTGGTTGCCCTCTTCTGGACACGCTCGAGCTTGTCAACATCCTTCCTAAACTGTGGTGCCCAGAACTGGACACGGTACTCCAGGTGAGGCCTGACCATAGCAGAAGAGAGCGGAACGACCACCTCCCGTGATCTGGACACAGTGCTTCTGTTAATGCATCCTAAGATTGCATTCACCTTCTTCGCAGCCACATCGCACTCAGAACTAGAGTACTCTGCTGGTTTAGATTTGGAATTAACTCAGGACAGTGAGTTTTGACTTGCATTTTTGCCTATGGGTGTGATATAGTGAGTTGCCGGTCATCCTGGTGTCCCCCCCTTTTGTTGATCCTCTCGGCGGTCGACAACTGGGTGTACGAATAATTTGTTCTGTGCCAGGGCTCTTTTTGTAGATAAAGCCCAGCAGGAACTCATTAGCATAATAGGCCACACCCAACAGCAGAAACTCATTAGCGTATTAGGCCACACCCATGACAGCACAGCTCATTGGCATATTAGGCCACACCCCCATGTTACCAGAAGTGTGCCCATCCAGCCACACCCACCTTTTGCTTCTTATTCTGTTTACCTTGTTTGTTGTCAAAACCCAGGGCCTTTTTTTGTAGCAGGAACTCCTTTGCATGTTAGGCCACACACCCCTAATGTAGCCAATCCTAATGAGTTTCTACTGTTGGGTGTGGCCTATTATGCCAATGAGTTCCTGCTAGGCGTGGCCAACTTGGAAGCCAGCCGGAACTCCGTTCCTGTGCGTTCCTGCCCAAAAATAGCCTGGTTCTGTCTATAATTCCTGTATCAAAATCACCTTTCCTTGAGGCTGTCTTGTGTTTCTAGGGCTGCAGCCTTTCAGCTGGCCACAAGCCCACGCCCTTCCCACAATAACTTTACTTGGCACTCTTTTCAGTGTTGCACCCCGCCCCTCCAAGAAAAAAAGTGAGATGCCATGGGGTGACGACTGGGGAAGGCCAGCAGGTCCAGGGTGCCAGCAAAGGGGTGGGCTCCAGGAGTTCAGCATTTCATTTATACCCCACCATTCTCCACACTGAAAGCTCAAAGCAGCTCCGGTTGTTCTTCGTTTCTCTAATCTTCACAACAACCCTGTGAGGTAGGTTAGGCCAAGGGTGTGTTCCTGGCGGAAGGTCACCCACTGAGAGCCAGTTTGGTGTCGTGGTTAAGAGCAGCAGACTCTAATCTGGAGAACCCGGTCTGATCCCCCGCTCCTCCACATGCAGCTGCCGGTGTGACCTTGGGCCAGTCACAAGTTCTCTCAGAGCTGTTCACTCGAGCAGTTCTCGCAGAGCTCTCTCAGCCACGCCTCGCTCACAGGGTGTCTGTTGTGGGGACAGGAAGGGATAGGAGACTGTAAACTGCTCTGAGACTCCAAGTGAAGGGCCGGGTATAAATCCAATCTCTTCTTCTTCACTTAGCTTCATGGTAGAGTGGGGATCCGAACCTGTGTCACCCAGATCTGCTCTAAGCACTGGACATCACACTTCCCCAAAGGTGCTGTCTAGGGAGGCAGGGCTGTTGCCTAAATTGGGGAAGAGAATGGTACCAGGACTTAGGCATTTGGAGATGTGCACACTCAGAAGCAATGCTTCAGTGCCTTTTTCATGCTTCTGTGTGTTTTCCATTTCCTGCAATCCAAATCTGTTGGATCTCCCACCCTGCTTGTTGTATTTGACCTACACCGCACACCCCACCTCTCCTCTTCATGGGATTACAACCACTGTTCCCTCTAAACTGAGTTAGTGTGAGCTAGCTGCAGTTTTTTAGCCTCCAGCTCACAGCTTTTGGTCTCAGCTCAGGAAGGATGAGGCTCCAGAGCAACCTGATTTATGCAGTAGCCAAATGCCCGTAGCTCACAACTTTAATGCCCGTAGCTCACAAAGTAGGATTTTTGCTCACAAGACCCCACAGCTTAGAGGGAGCATTGATTACAGGAGACAGAGGTCAGTTCTCCTGGAGAACACAAAGGTGACCTGTAGGGCGTCATAGCCCATTGAAGCCCCTCCTTTCCCTTCCCTAAACCCCGCCCCCCTCGGGCGCCACACCCCCAAATCTCCAGGTCTTTCCCAAACCAGATTTGGCGATCCCTAAATCTGCCTAGTGGAGCTGCGGTGGCTCAAGTGGTTAAGACGCTGAACTGCAGGCTGTGGAAGGTCAGTAGTTCAGCAGTTCAAGACCTGGGTGCTGCACGACGGGGTGAGCTCCTGTCTCTAGTTCCAGCTCCTGCCAACCTAGCAGTTCGAAAGCAAGAAGTTGCAAGTAGATAAATAGGTACCACTTCCGTGGGAAGGGAACAGCGTTCTGTGCGCCTTGGTGTTTAGTCATGCCGGCCACATGACCACGGAAACGTCTTCGGACAGCGCTGGCTCTTCGGCTTTGAAACGGAGATGAGCACCGCAACCCTTGAGTCGGATTCGACTGGCTTTCGAGCAAGGGAACCTTTACCTTTACCTTTAAATCTGCCTAAGAGGAGCAGCGGAGAGAAACGCATGGTTAAAAACCTGCCCCACGAAAGGGGCGTGGCCTCAGGTGGCCAGCTGGCAACAAATGGGCGTGGTTAGAGAGAGAGAGAGAGAGAATAAGGGGCGGGCTCTACACGGCGGAGGGTCCCTGCCCCGTGCTGCGATCCGTCTGGAAGGCGTGCCAGCCGTGGAAGGGCAGGCACTCTGCACGTGCTCAGGAGCTCTCTTCCGGCGCGCCAGCTGAGCGGAGCTCATCCCCGGGTTTCTCTCGCCCCTCGCAAGAGCGGGCTGTTCTTACATCAGGCCGGCTCTGGGGTGGGGTGGGGAGGCGGGGAGGGGCGGGCCAGGGGCCTGCCCTCCGTGCCGCCCCTCCCCCGTCCCCTCCCCCCTCCCTCTTAAAGCCGGGCTCCCGGACGCCGGGGTCCATCCTGCTGCGCGGCCAGGGGCTGGGGACAGGATGCCGGCGCTGTACACGCGGATCCTGGGGTGAGCAGACGCCTCCCGCCGCCGCCCTCCTTCTCCCTCCGGTCCTCCGCCCCCTCGGCCTTCGCCCCCGGACTCTTCCTTGCAGGCGGCCGCTCCTTCCCCTCCTTCCAGCCCCCCGTCCCCTGCCCTGTTGCGCGGCGCATCCCGGAGGTGCACCCGCCCCGTGTACCTAACCTGTGCATGCATCCCCCCCTCCCTTTCCGAGGTCCCGATCCGCCCTCTCCTTTGTCCCGACGCCCCGCAGCAGGGGCGCTGGGAGGAGACGGACAGTGTTGGAGGAACGGGGAGGGGGGACTTCCCTACCCTCTAATATCCCCCCCCCAAAAAACCCTACTTTTCCTTAACTTGTTTGCAAGAGATGCTTAAAAAACAATCCTCTGCATTGCAAGCGGGGTTGAAGAAGATCTCTGGGCGACCCAGGCTAGCCCTGCCCAGGAAGCCAAGCAGGGTCAGCCCTGGTTAGGACCTGGACAGGAGACCACCAGAGTTCCCTCTAAGCTGAGCGAGTGTGAGCCAGCTCGCAGTTTTTGAGCCTCCAGCTCACACCTTTTTGTCTCAGCTCGGGAAGGACGGGGCTCCGGAGCAGACTGGTTTCTGCAGCAGCCAAATCGCTCGCTCACAACTTTCGCGCCAGGGGCTCACAAGGTAGAATTTTTGCTCGCAGCTTAGAGGGACCATTGGAGACCACCAGGCGAGGCAGGGTTGCTAGGCAGAGACCGGCATTGTGGCAACCAACCTCTGGGTGGCTTTCCTGCCCGGGCTGGCTCTTCTCAGATCTCACAGAGACTCAGTTGGGGGTCCCTGGTTCGGACTTGGGTGGGAGACCACCAAGGAAGGGTCTGGTGTCATCCGGTCTGGGAAGCAAAGCCGGGTCGGCCCCGCTCTTGCTGCCAGGTTGCCGTAAGTCAGCTCTGCTGCAACTTGACGGCAGTGTTCCCTCTAAGCTGAGTTAGTGTGAGCCAGCTCGCAGTTTTTTAGCCTCCGGCTCACACATGTTTGCCTCAGCTCAGAAAGGATGGCTCCAGAGAGCAAACTGGTTTATGCAGCAGCCAAATGGCTCGCTCACAACTTTAACGCCCGGAGCTCACAAAGTAGAATTTCTGCTCACAAGACTCCACAGTGTGGAGGGAGCCTTGCTTGACGGTGTGGTTTGGGGGTCTCTCCTCCCCAAGTGTAGCAGCCCCCCCCAAAAAAAAAAGTCTGCCCTGGTTGTTCCCAACCACTTTGGCACCCACTTGTGGCGATAAATATTTGCAATAGCAGTGCCTTCGCGTTGCTTTCCTCTGTCTTCTCCAGGAGGTTTCCTCTGCGTCCCTCTCGACTTCCATTCATTCTGTCTCTCCTTCCCCTGCCTTAGACCTTGCATGTGCAGAGTTAACTGCACCGGGAACCTCCCTGTGTGAATGCCCCGGGGAGGGGGCCAGAAAGTGGGGCGACGTCGGGTGCCAAGGAGTGCTCTGGGCTGAGATCAAAGGGGCCTTTGTTGGGAACACCCTGGCTGGTGAGACTCTCCCAGGCCCGGACTTCCTCCTCCTCACCCTCCACGTCACCCGCACCCTCCTCCTCGAGGGACTAGCCCCCCTCCCGCAACCTTTCACCCACAAGAGGAAGCGGCAGTCCTCAGCCAGTTCGAGTCTCTCCCTTGTTTGTCCTTCTGTTTTATTTCCTTTGCAGTTGCACCCCAGCCGGATAAACAGGGTCACACCGCTAGCCTAAGACCCAAAGAGGAAGCGGAAAGATAGTAAAATCCCCCAAGTTGCAGCCCTCTGTCCCCAATATAGTGCCGATAGTTATTTTCGAACCCCAGTGTCCAAATCTCAGCATTGTCGCCAGCTTGTTGTGTGTTGGCTCAGCCTCCCGCTTCCCATCTGTAAAATGTGAATAACAGTGGCCTACCTGCCAGGGTTGTCATCTGTACTAAGGCAAGGGACACTGTCGAGCCAATCTAAAAGGGCAGCGTAAGTGACAGATGTGGAGCGTTAATTTGGTGTCTTCACCCCAGGGGTTTTAAGAGACTTTAGCTGGAGAATGTGTACTCTGCATTTCCACTTGTGGTAGCTCAATGACAACAACCTCACGGAATGGTGAGAGCCAGCACGGTCCTGGTTTTTATGTTTTTTGCTGTTTTAGCTTCTGTGTTTTATCTGCATCGTAAGCCGCTTGAAGCGCCGTAATGGAGAAAGGCGGCTAATAAATGTTTTCATAAATAAAACAAATAAATAGTGGTAGAAAACAGCAAGAGTTCAGGAGCACCTTAAAGACCAACAAAATATGTGGCAGGCTGTGAGCCTTTGTGAGTCGCTGCTCACTTCTTCAGATAGAATGGGAGTCCATCTATCGTGTTTATTGGAAAGTGGAGTGATTTCAGATGCCGAATGACAATAACAGGCGAATGACAATAGCGGCCGTGATTGGATTTAGGTAAGATATGCAGAGGGGTGACAGGTGTGGAGAAATCAGCACTGGTAATGAGACAGGAAACCTAGGTCTCGATTCAGTCCAGGTGGATGCATTATCTTGAGCTTCATTATCAGTTGCAATTCAGATGGATTTTCTACTGCTACAGACAAACTAACACGGCTACCCATCTTGATCTCTAAATAAATAGTGTCTAGAATGTCAGGATAGGATTGGGAGACCCAGGCTTGAATGCACACTCTGCCAGGGAGGTTTTCTGGGTGACCTTGGGTCAGTTGCACGTTCTTGGCCCACCTACCTCTCAGGGTTGTTGTGAGGATCAAATGGAAGAGGGGAGAATGACGTAAACTGACTTGAGTCCCCTTCGAGGAGAAAAGCAGGGATATAAGTGAAGTAAGACAATATACGCAATCACTGAGTTGCTGAAAATGTGGCTATCTATCATTAAACTGTAAAAAGAGTTCTGGTAAGAAACAGCAAGAAGGAGGTACATAAAACAGCAGAATATCTCTGGAACTTAGAGCAAGAACTGAAAACTGTATTCCTTGCCAAAGGCAAGTTTCGAATAGTCTTTGAAGCAGGCCTGTAGCCAGGATTTTTTAAATTTGGGGGGCCTTTAAATAAGTCAGGGGGCACCCTGCACACACACACACCAAGGGAGCACCACAGGCCTTGGCAGTAATTGGAAATCACGGGGGCCTGGGTTGGATGGGAAGTCGGGTGGCCTTGGCAGTAAGTTGGGTGGGGGCAGGTCTGGCCTCGAGATGTCCCACTGTAGCCACAAGCCTGCTTTGAAGAAGAAGAAGAAGAGATTGGATTTATACCCCGCCCTTCACTACCCAAATGTGTCTCAGAGCGGCTTACAAACTCCTCTCTCTTCCCTTCCCCACAACAGACACCCTGTGAGGAAGGTGGGGCTGAGAGAGCTCTGACAGACACTGCTTTTTTCCAAGGACAGCTGGTATCAGAACTATGGCTTGCCCAAGGTCATCCAGCCAGGTGTAAG